TACGAAATTTTTTACATGTTGTAGACAACTGTGCAGTTTCAGAGGAGACCAAAAAGGCAAATAAACTTTGGAAAGTTCAGCCTATTCTTGATGTTGTACGAAGTAAATGTATCACTCTTCAAAGATCTCTCGAGTTGTCAATTGACGAACAAATGATTCCGTTCACTGGAACCACTAGTCTACGACAGTATGTCAAGAACAAACCTAATCCTGTAGGTTTGAAGAATTTTGTGCTTGCTTCAAAAACAGGGCTAGTCTTGGATTTCTTTATTTATCAAGGTGCAAACACTTGGCCTGATGCTGCTCCTGACAAATCCTTGGGCATTGGAGGCTCTGTAGTGAAAAAATTGTCGATGCACTTGTGTCCAGGAACAACAATTTACTTTGATAGATATTTCACTTCCATTAATTTACTCGATTATTTATTAGAAAAGGGAATATGTGGTATTGGTACCATTATGAATAATCGAATTCCACGAGTACTTAGAAGCAAAATAAAAAAAGATTCTGCTTTACTAAAAGAAGGCCGAGGGTCGCGGCCTTCTTGGGTAGTAATGAAGAATGGGTACGCGGTGATAAGAAAGTCTCTATTTTGAAATGGATGGACAATAGATCTGTGACAATGGCTTCTACATCTGCAGGTTCTTTGCCTTTGACTGACGTACGAAGATGGGATAAAAAAAATTCAAAGTATATTCTGGTGCCTTGTCCAAACACAATTGTTAAATACAACCAGTCAATGGGAGGCGTGGATTTGTGTGATAGATTTATCTCATATTACAGAATCTGTATGCGCACTAAAAAATGGCCTGTACGTGTCTTTTGGCACTTTATTGATCTTGCATTGACCAATTCATGGATAGAGTATCGTCAGGATAGGGTAGCGTTTGGCGATAAGAGATCCAAGGTAATGATTTACTGGAATTTAAGCTGTATGTTGGAAGGTCACTAGCTTTAGGTGGTAAGCCTACAAATGGGAGAGAAGCTAGTACGTCTATTTCAAGAAAACCGGAGACATTTGAAGATGAAGAGCCCATAATTCCAGTAAAACGATCTAAAGTTGTCCACTTACCGCCTATGGATGTAAGAAAAACTAGTAATGACCATTTGCCAATATGCTCTGTCGACAATAAAAATTCTTACATGCGTTGCCGAAACCCTGGGTGTACTAAGAAGACTAGATTCTTTTGTGTAAAATGCAAAATGTACTTGTGTATTTCTCCTGAACGAGAATGTTTTTTTCAGTTTCATACTTAAATTATATGTAAGTTAAGTCCTGATGTCCATTATGCTGGACCTGTCATAATTATGTCTGTCAAATAAATTTTTTTTAGTTTTTATAGATTTTCGTTTATTTTTTTCACAAATCAAGAGAAAAAATAGAAAATATTGCTAAAATAATAAAAACTCTTTTCTTGGGACTGAGGAGGATAAAGTACCTACTACAAAAAAGTTTTATATTTTATTGCAGAAGTGCCACAGACACAAATGTTGGTTGTTATTATCCATACGATAGACTCACACAATTATAAATTGATATAAAATGCAAATTCTATCAAGTCCAATTCAAAACAACTGACTCATCATCACGTTTGCGTTACCTTTCAAATGTTAATCGCATTTATCATCGATACCGTCCAAATGCAGCAACCGCTTTGATAGCTATCGCCGTCCAAAGTGATGGTAGTCGCCAGTAAGAGAGGTACCGCGGTTGGCGGTCTTCGGTACCGCTTTGCCTCTTCATGACATGTGTCACTTTATTGAAATGCCCATTTTTCATCTGCCGAAACGCCGCACCAATATAAATATTGTGAGTCGGGCACCCGCAGAGATAGGTCAGTCCCCAGAGGCCAAAAATCATATTAAAAGTGAATTATGGGCCTTGATAAATAGTTGGTGCTTTGAATATTATTTTAAAATGTTCTTGTTTAATTTTTATTGCTTAAATAAATAAAAAGATTTGTTTCATTAATGTTAAAAATGTTATTATAATTTTTTTTGAAATCATTTATTAAAGTCATTATTCCGAAAAAATCTAACGCCAGCAAATATGAACAGTACCATTTGATACATTGAAGGAGACAAATCAAACAAAAATCGTTCGTAGCAGAATGTACTGAATGTACGATGTAACAATTAGGTTCCAGACCTGGTTTTTAGACACGCTGTTTTAGCTTATTGGTCCTCATACAAAAATGCAAAGTCACAGAAAATAACTATACATTTGCTTCATAGATATTACGTAAAAGCTTTTGTCTGTGTCACATATTCTGAGTTAATGTAAATTCTAGATTCAAGAGGACTAGACAAAAACATCAGCCTTGACTACCGATATACAAAGTTAATTTACAATACATACAAGAACGCAACTATCTCGGTGAAACTACATAAAACAGTAGGGCAGAGATATGTACAATGCTACATGAACTTCATTTAGTGTGTGCCAGTATGGGTCTTAAAATAAACATCTTCAAAACAAAATTCATGACAAATCTAGTACCTAGAGGAAATATCAATATTGGAGACAACGAAGTAGAGCTAGTTGGACACGAAATAAAATCACAAGAGACAACCAAACATGCAAACTACAAAGAAGAATAAAGCCTAGCATGGACAGTCTATGGAAAACTCTTTAAAAGCGATATACCAATTTATTTAAAACGTAAAACATTTGATCAATGTGTGCTGCCTGTGATGACCTATGGTGCCGAAACTTTGTCATTGATAGCTACAAGTTCTAAAACGCTGCAAATAGCTCAGAGGAAAATGGAAAGGTCAATGCTAAGTATATTGCTTCCGTGACCGAGTTAGAAATCAAGACTTAAGACGAAGAACAGGAGTTACCGATGTAATTTCCCGAATTGCCACACTGAAATGGAACTGGGCCGGACACGTTGCCCGATCAGTGATGAAAGGTGGACGAAAAGACTGCTTGAGTGGAGGCCAAGGATAGACTAAAGAAGTAGAGGAAGGCCCCCTACTCGTTGAACTGACGATATCAAGAAAAATGTTAAGAAATTGGATGAAAAAGTGCTCAAGATAGAGCACAATGGAGAAAAATGACGGAGGCCTATGTCCAGCAGTGGACCGCAAAGGGCTGTGGTGATGATGATGAGACAAAACCGTCATAGCTACATACGCTGTTTTGCCTTTATAACTATCAAATGGGGTCAGTAAATAAGCAGAAAAACTCATTAAGCGTATTGTAATCAATGGATTTGTATTACACCCCGTTTTACTGTATCAAATAAACCAGACCTTTATCCAATATGAGAGACACTAACAATACAGCCATGTTAGCAGATAGCACATAAAACTTCCAATTCCTGTTTAGCAAACTAATGAGAAAAGCGAGAATCTCAGCGTGAAAATAACACAAGTAAATCCAAGGTCATTTAAGGATAAAACACCTACTTGCAGGTAAAACATCAATGTAACTATGAAAAGTCAATCTAATAAGTGATAAGATTCATATAATTGACTCCTGGATAACAAACAACCCCTAGATCCTCACTTAAAAATAATATAAATGGCAGGAGCAACTTTCCTGAAGGTGAAGTTTGCTAAGTGACCATTAACACTCAATCTGACTGAGTCCTCAGTAACGGAGGTGAAACTTGAACAAAGTGTAGGTCATTTAGGGATTGAATAACGTTGAACGCGATCATCAAATTCCGTCTTTATTCAATTCATTTATTGGCATTGAGAGTCGAGATACCTAATTTCGATTAAGAAATGCACAAGAAGATTATGTATGTGCAAGAATACTCTGCACACGAATAGATGATGACAAATAATTGACAGTAAAAGTTTGAATATTTGAAAGATCGTCTTTATTAAACAATCAAACAATGAGAAGAAAGTGTCATTTGTCTTCACTTCTACAACTGCGACAGACATTATCAACAGTAAAGACATTATCAAAGAGATATGGTAACAAACATCTGTGTACAGGCGTGTATTGTTTACCTCAAACATCTTTGATAAACCTCGAGTATCTGCATTATATGTAGCCGTCATATATGTCTCGGAATGTGTCGGTTGGTCGGAATCAGTAGTGAAATGATCTTTGCGTCTAGGGAGAGTTTTTAACCCCTATGGAAGACTTAATTTTTCGTAGAAGCTGACTATTTATAACTGTTCTATTTCGAGCTAGGGAGGTACTAGGAGGATGAACACACACTAAGGCAGTTATGAGCTACTTCCAATGCATTTTGCAATGGTAAAATTGAAGGAAAAAGAGGTCCAGGACGAAGAAGAATATCTTGGCTTGCTAGCTGGAATAGCTCAACATAGCTGTTCCATATAGTAACCAACAAAGTTATCATAGCCAGAATGATCGCCAACGTTCGGAATGAACAGGAAACCTTAGAAAAATTATTAATTATACGAAAAAATTTGATTCTGGTATTTCGAAAATTCAACTCATACTCAGATAATATTCGCTGAAATACTTCCGGCGAAAAGAAATGCCATAATCGGAATCATCAACCTTTATTTGACATTGACAAATTCTTCTGAACTTACATTGAATTTACTGCCTGTGACTGTCGCCATTTTTCTTTTGCGTTGTTAGCTTTATTAACTTATAATTTATTGTAGATCCTTGTGATTTTTATCGATATGCGATTGTGATTTTTATGCAATGGACTGAACAGTATTGTGTTACGCTTTTTGCATAAAATTTTCTGCTCTATTATTAAACGTATTAATTTGGAGACACATTATGAAACGTCCCATCAACAGTTTCATTAAAAGTTTCCTCTGTGAAAGTGAAGCTCGCCAAGAAAAGCTTAAGATATATCTAGTTTCTTACAAAAAAGCACATCAATAATACCTTTTCTAGATGAGAAATTAATATGTGATCTAATACAAAGTGTTTCCTCGTTCTATATTTTTGAAAAAAACATTGCAAGTCAAAAACTACTTTTACTTTCCATCAACTCTTAAACCCAAGAATAATTCTGAATTAGAAAAAATAGACGTTTCAATATTTTTAGATTTCATTGTAGGTATTGAAAAGGAATTCGCACAAGATTTAAAAACTTTGTAGAGGTAGAAAAAGTTGTCGACATTCTTAAAAGCATCTTTTGCAGGTTCTTCAGCAGGAAAATGGAATGATGTTGCTGCGAATTGGTTCCCCATTTGAAAGCCCTTTCTCCAAATAAAGATTATAGACTTGCAGGAAGATGTTTTTGGAGTTACATATTCCAGAGAAATATGAAAATTGCAAGAAATTTGCCATTTTCTTTGTTCTTATGTTTGGCTCCACATTTCTTTGTAAAACTTCGTTTTTAAAAATAAATTTTTTGAAGAACAATAAATATCCATTAAGATTGACAGACGCTCATCCTTGAGGGCACTCTATTCGCATTTGCTGCTCCCAGCGTTAATCTACATTTAAAAAACTGGCTCGAAAATACAAGTGTAATTTTTCACATTGATTTTAAAAATATATAACTGTTTATTCAAATCAAAAATTAAATTTATAGGGTTAATTTGTTTCACTCGATGGAGGCGTTTCGAAGTTTCGCCAATTTTTTTCCCGGGACTTTCCCAAACCTATTTTACAATATGTCTGAACCCTAACCAAAATTAGTTGCCGACCCCTGCCCTAGACATAATATCTGCCAATTATCCGCCAATATTCCTATAATACTGTCAGACTAGTCTAGTATTAAATGGTTTATCTTCTTATAAGACGTTGAAGATTTTGGAATAGTTGTCACCGACTGGCCTATTTTCCGAAAACCAACAATATAATATTATGGGAGCGGGTACCGCAAAGACGCCGGCTTCACTCATTTCGGGTTTCATGATCGATTGTTTGCCAATCTAAAATTAATAGAGATTTTTTTGGGGAGACGTATGAGGTCACAAAACAAATATAGCAAATTGGTCAAATTGATTGTGGTTTTTGTTTGCTTAATAGTGGGAAACTGAGAAGTTGTTCTTCGAAAAAAAAAAAGCAAATGAATCATCTTTGAAGAAAACGCTTAACAAATTAATGAAAGATGAGAATTTGAAATAATTTTTTTAAAATGAATAAAAATTTTGTAAATTGCTACAAACTAAATGCTTAAGGTGTTAAGTAAAGTCTATTTATATTAATTTGCTTATTATTGAGCATAAGTACATTCTTTCTTTTCTGTTTCTTACTATATTCATCCGCCTTGTCCTCTCCTATGAATATATTTATTCTACCTTTCTTCTTCATATTCGATGTGTGCTACAAATTGAGATTTTTGTTTTGCTATTTCTCTCTTATATCTCTTACTTTAGAGATAATCTAATCCACCTATCAATTCTTTTCGAATATCTAGAAGCAGCGGAACCAATTTTACTTAAAAACTGAGTGTGCAAGCTTGCTCAAAAAATCATCAATTAGCCTATATTTATCCACTGTTGAACGTAGGCCTCCCGTAAAATTTTCCACCGATTTTTATCTTGAGCTTCTTGCGTCTAATTTATGGTGATTCGCTTTATACCATCTGTACAATTAGTCGGTGGTCGTCCTCTGTTTCTACATGTCTCTTGTCTTAGTCTCAAGAATCTTTCTGATCCATCTATCATCCATCAATCTGGCAACATTTCCGGCCCAAGCCCATTTAGCCATGGCTACTGTTTCAACTGCATCCGTGACTTCTGTTCTTCTTATTTCTAGGTTTAATAATTTATCTCTAATGGTAATACCTAACATTGATCTTTCCATATGTGTTGTGTACCTCTTATTTTATTTATTGTTCCTTTTGTCAGAGTTAGTGTTTTTGCACCATATGTAGGGACCGGGAAATACATTGGTTAAAAACCTTTCTTTTTAAACAAACTAAAATATTATACTTAAAAATGTTATTCAATCTACCAAAGGCAGTTCTTGTGAGATCTATCCTTCTTTGTATTTCAGATGTCTAATTTTTGATGCTTCATAGAGCGTTTCGAGCATTTTTGTAGCTTTAACTCAATCAGATATTATAACGAGATGTGTGTCGTCAAATCTTAGGTGGTTCAGATCCTCTCGATTTATATTAATTCTCATATTCCCTCTCGTATCATTTGCATGAACATATATATTTGAGTACAGCTGTAAACAATTTCGGGAGATAGTATCACCCTGTTTAATTCCACGTTCTATTCGGAACTGTTTTGTATCTTTATGAAGTCGACACAAGCTGTATCTGTAGCTGTAGAAGTTTGTAATTAATAATCAAAAATGATCTAATAAAGTGAACATCTGGATGCAGTCCAATGATAACTACACCGATGGAAACCTATCAAAGAGGAGTCAGACAAGGTTGCATTTTGTCGCCAACATTGTTCATGTTTACTCGGACATGCATTAAAAAGGGCACTTGAAAGACACCATATGGAGGAGCCTAATGTCCAACTGGGAACTACTAATGTGATTAGATATGCAGACGATACAGTAATTCTATCAGATAATATTGAAGGTCTTCAAATTCTGCTTGATCGTATTCACGAGGTAGGAGAGGAAATGGGCATTAAAATAAACTCAAACAAAACCAAATTTTTTAGTGTTTAGTCGTGACCCACATTCCGATGCAAAGCTTTAATTGAACGGAGTCCAAGTTGAGAAAGTTTACAAAATGACATATTTGGGAACTGTGATAACGGACCAACTAGATCCAGACATAGAAATAAAACGAAGAATAGCAATGACTAAAACTACTTTTATGAAAATGAAGTCATTTCATTGCAATAACCATCTCAGTTTAGAACTAAGGCAAAGAATGATTAAGTGCTATGTTTGGTCTGTACTTTTGTATAGTGCAGAAGTGTGGACGCTAAAAGTATCGATTATGAACAAAATTGAAGCATTGGAAATGTGGGTTCATAGACGAATGCTGAAAATACCTTGGACAGCAAGAAAAAACTAATGAAGAAGTACTAAGGAGCGTCAACAAAGACAGAGAACTGCTAAAGACTGTTAAACATCGAAAAATGTCCTATCTGGGACATATAGTAAGAGGAAGTCGATATAAAGATTTAACAACTGATCCTTAAAGGCAAAATAGAGGGCCGTAGAGGTGGTAGGAAGAAAACAAGTTTCTCGGTTAAGAAACATTAGTGAATGGACTCAGATACCAAATGCAGGACAAATATTCCATATTGCAGATCGAGAAGCCTTCGCAATGGTGATCGCCGGATAGTTCTGATATGGCACTCGAGAAGAAGAAAGTGTTATCCCTGTATACTTCTGTGATTATTCCTAAAAGGGATGGATTAATGTCGAGTTTTTGTAAAGCTGTCACAATTAAGTCTTGGAACTATATCATTCGCCTTTTCTAGGTCGATGAAGGCTAGATATACTTCGGTACCAATCGCTATTCTTTGTTCTATTAATTGTTGCAGTATAAACAAGTTATTAGTGCAAGATCAAAGATTCAAACCGCAATAAACTTATTTTAACCTTCAATTGCGGCTTATTCCCATTAAAATAGTAATTGTGAACACTATTCCGTCCGTCCGTACTTCCCGTCATCTTCACGATCATCTCTCTTACAGTCACAGGGTTCATACCTATTTCTTTATACATTATGTTTCTCTCCACTACACATCTATTACACTCAAGCATTGTGTGAGTAGCAATGTTGGAATATTCGCAGTATAGGCATTTATCTGTATCTGTCTTTCTGAACCTATTAAGATACGTCCTAAAACATACAATCTACCCAGTCCCTTAGGCTCGGGATCAGCATCTTGGTCCACTGGGCAACATCTTCCTTGTTGTTCCACTCTTCTTGCTATCTTTCCATTGATCTTTCTCCTTACTTCTTTTTTTATAGATGTTGTCAAATGCTATTCTTCTCTCCTAGAGGTGTGTCTTTTCTTCTGCTAACACATGCAGAGGAACACAACCCGTTATCAGTCCACAAGGCCGCCGCAGATAAAGTTCTGTAGCTAATAAGCCTAATATTAGGTATCTATATCTAAATATAATAAAAAATATTATTAATTATTGTGCATGTATTAATTATTGTGTATTTATACAATAATTAATGTTCTACATATCTGAAGTGGTAATTTAATTATTCAATTAGCGTTTTGGATTGCTTGTATTGTGTGTGAAAGACAAATTACTTTAATTATATTAAAAAAATAGATATTTTTTACTTTATATGCCCTGGGGGGAAAACCTCCCGTTTGCGCGCACAGGGATAATGCTCTATGTATACACACAAAAAAATTATTACTTGCTTACTAGTACGAGTATAATTGGTCAACAAAATTCGTAATATTTTTAATCTTTGGTAGATTTTCAATTTTGGTTTCAAAGTTTACCATGTGGAAGGGCACGTCCACAGAAAAAACGTTAAAACAAACCAGTTAAGGATTTGAAATAAATCAAAATGCTTTAAGAAAAATCAAAAACCCGCCGTTGGATGATTAATTCACGACTAAGAAATCACTGTTAAAACGAGGGAGCAGCGGCAAGAATCAAAGTGAAGCACATTGTTGCAAATATCATTCTATAAGCCCTCGGTGGACAGCATTCAAAAGTAATTACTTATCTTATCTCTAAAAGTATTTAAAGAGAATAGAAGGAGATAAGCAGTCCATTAGTAGCTACCGAAAACGATTAACTTTCGTCGTTACGATTTTTCTGCAAGATTTCGGTGTCGTCATTTAATCACCTCCGGAATTTTCAGGATTGGATTAGGTCTAAAAGAAATTCCTTTTTCTGTTCGTTGTTTATACCAAAGAAATAAATAATATAAAGAAAAATAAACAAATGCTCATACCCTCATCATTAATCCTGAGAAAACATACGATTGGGATCCTGGAGAGGTTGTGTGATGGTGGGCACTCAATATAAAAGAAATCTCATTGAAAATTACAAGATTGTGATAGTATAGAGAGTAAAAACTAGTGTTTAGACAGTTATGGCACATACTGCAAATTTCATGTGAAAGGAGGATTGCGCCAAGTCTCAATTAACAAGAAAATACAATATTCTATAGTTTCATATACATATTCATTCATAACCCCACAAGCATGCCGAACATCATTTTTCGTGGAGGACAAAAACTGATT